CATCATTCTCCCAATTAATATTATCTTGACCCAGCACAAGATGTGTTAATTTTTATTGCAGAGAAATCAGGGAGGTAGCTACTACTTTGGAATTCTCTATGATTAAGAAAGAACAATACTCTGGAGATCAGATCTTAAGGTTCTAAGGAAAATCATCTTCTTAATTCCTATCTTGCTTTCTTGTATTATTATTGTATTTTTACTTGGAACAAAGGTTGGTGTAAAGCTCATTCTTTGTTATGAGTATTACTTTCCAAGAGCAAGAAATAATATTAGAAATATAACCAAAAGATAACAAAAAATATAATTAAACAATACTGTTAATTTCTTACCCTCATTAGGACCAGCCAAATAGCTCAGCGGATTAAAGCACCTGCAAGCAGGCACAGAGGCAGGAGTTCAATCCAGGGTCTATCGTGCTGGTCCTGCCCCTGGGACACGCTGAGACAGCAATTGAAACTGCGCTTGGTGGCTCAAGCCTGTAGTCCCAGCTCTTGGGGGACTGTACACAGGCAGATCACTATAAGTCCAATCTAGCAGTGAGATCCTGAACACCCTGTAGACCCTTCCCCCCCAAAAATTCTTACCCTCATTGTAAATTATTGATGAAATGAGTATTTAATTAAGATTTTTTTCCTATGTGAAAAGATATTTTAAAGAATTCTGATTCTCAAATTAATCTTCTATCAAGGGTAGTGGCAGTAGGACTGGGTTTTTCTACCTTTACAGAGGTTGGCCATTTGCTAATTGGCATGACTTAAAATGACAATTTCCAGGTTAAGGCTGTCATTTAGAGGGACAGTGTGCTTAGTACAAGGCCCTGGGTACCATTCCCAGTACCAAAAGAAAAACAAACAAACAACACCCCCCTTCCCCAAGAAACAAAAAGAAGCAGCACCCCCTGTTCATAGTCTAGGCCTCTAATCTAGTCTTACCCTTTGGCTAAGGCTGTCTCTGTCCATAGTCGAACTGTTCCTTTGAGCTTCAATCAAGGATAAATAGTATTCTTGGTGTAAAATGGCTTAATTCTCTTACTTTTAACTGTATACACAGATATTCGCATGACTATTTTCTGGCTAATGAACATACTATAGGCATTCTTCATACATGCATAGGTTTTACCAACAAATGTCTCATTATTTCAATTATATTTTATTTCACTTTAAATTTTTATTTATATTTTCAAACAGGATCTCACTGTGTAGCTCAGACTGGCCAAGAACTGTGAAGCCCTGCTGGCCTCAAACTCGGGGCAATCTTCCAGCCTTATCCTTCTGAGGCTCATAGGTGTGTGATACCATGCCTAGCGAAGTTTTGTTAAAAAATGTTTTTACAGGGATTTATTCGAAAAGATGGTCATTCTTGAGACCCTGGGACCTCTGAATACCAATTTATTTATTTATTTATTTATTTATTTATTTATTTATTTATTTGAGAAAGGATCTCACTCTATAGTTCAGGCTGGCCTCCAACTTGTGACAACACTTCTGCCTCATCCTCTTGAGTGCTGGGATTACAGATCTGTACCACCAGACTGAACTGATTTTTTATTTTTCACTGGGACAGGGTCTCACTATGTTGTCCACACTGGCCTTGAACTCTTTTATATAGCCCAGGCGGGCCTCATACTCCTAACTTCCTGAGTGTTGATATTACAGGTGTGCCTGAATATTACTTAAATCACAGGTTTGTTTTAAGCTCTCCAACACTGGTGGAGAGGATGGTTTCCTTTATCTGTAAGACAGAGATTATGTACTTCAGCTGTCAAGGATAAACTATTACAGATATTTAAATCTCTACATTTACTTAACTTCTATTAAACTGGGGTATTTTTAGCTCAAAAACAAAGCATCTTTCTCAGCTCTAACCTTTGATGAGAATCTTGAATGTTGTCCAAATTCATAGGGGGTTGAGTTCATGTTCTCTTGGGGAGCAGCTAGCATCTACACAATAGGTGGCAGGAGAGCTTTCACCTGGATAGTGACAGCCTGTGGCCAACTGTCCTTGTACCCAAAGCTTCATTTCCAGGGCATGCTTTGCCCAGGGAAGGAGATGGGCCGTTTCCTGACAGCCAGTCACTTGGGGGTCCTCGTGGCTGGCCAGAGTGCTCTCTTCCTTGTGTTGTTGTAAGTGATGAAGTCTTGCAGATTCCTAGCCTGTGTTCTCATTTCCACAATACTGCCAAAATGTCTAGTTAGACTCTAGCACCATCTAGACCCAGGCAATGATGGGGCTGGGCTTCAGCAAAGGTTCCCAGGCTTTCCTGTGGGTGGGAGTCACATGGGGACCCGCTTACAATGCAGGGGTAGATTCTGGTCTGCTAAGACCTAGAACCTTGCATTGCAACAGAGCCTGGTGGAGCCTGCCGCTGCTCCTAGTGTAAGCATCACACTGAGTACCTATGTGTCAGGTACACTCATGCAAAGCCCTCTCTGTGTCTTATGTTTGATTCTTTCCTCTTTCCTTTGCTATCTGTGGAAGATGAGGCTGAGCTCTATCCCTGGCTATTTGAAAAATGAAAAGAGAACAGTCTGGGTAGGGATCACAAAGAAATCATGGTGTGACTGATTAACCTTTCTATTCCCTCTACATCCTTCCTTCTTCCTCATAGCTCCTCTTCCCCAGGTGAGAAGGAGATCATTCTGTATGGAATGCAGGGGTCAGGAAGGGAGCTCACTGGTTCACAGCTCCCAGTGCAGTGTGGTGGTCTTCATTATTTATAGTCTGGAGTTGGTATATAGGATTGATCCCAAAATGTTTTTCCACCAACTATCCTGCGACTGCAACATCTGAAATACCTGAAGGTAAACCTGGGCAGGTCCCATGGGCCAGATGAAGTGACATTGTCTATGGCAAGGTGAGTTGTGAAACATTTTAAGACCTGAAAAAAATAGGAGATGCTGGTGACATTTAGGTGGATGAGATGACCTGTCCATCTCTAGTGAAGGAGAGGAGAGCGACTGTTTTTAAATTAAAAATGTTTCTTAGTACATTTTATGGTACATGAGTATAATCCTGGTGAGGAGCTGGTACATGTATGCAACAAACTCCATTTTTTTTTTCTTACAGCCGTTTCCTCTTCCCTCCCTTCATCCCTTGGTCCCCTTACCTTTTGCAAAAAGATCTGCCTATTTCCATTATCTTTTTTTTATTTTTATTTTTATTTTTTTAAAATTTTATTTATGTGTGTGTGTGTGTGTGTGGCCAGCTCAGCCCACCAGGGGGCAGGGCTGGCAGGCATGTGGTGCTGGGGGATTGAACCACAGTCCCTGTACTTTGCTAAGCTTGTTCTAAGTAGGTGCCTTAGACCACTGAGTCATCTCACCAGCCCCATTATCTTTTATTTTGCTCTTCGATTTATTTACACATTGGGTTTCTCATTAAGAGAAACCATGCCACATTTAAGGTTGTGTCTGATTTATTTCACTTAACTTTGTGGTCTCAGGGTGCATCCACTCTCTTGAAGTTTGCTGAAAGGTTGGTTGTTCGGTAAAATACTTAGGATTTATCCCTTTGGGAAGTGCTTTTCATTTGCTAATTCCTGAACTAAGAGCTGGGGCCCTCCTCAGGGGTGCTTACTCCTTTCCACATGTTAGTTCTGGTTACCACACATGACCCCATTTCCCTGCTGCCACTGTCCCAGATGATGGGTGAGATATGGCTTCATTCTTGCCCATGTCTTAACGTCTCCTCTATTTCTGGTCCACAGTGAAGTTTACCTGTATTTAAGTCTAGTTACTTATTTTTGGACTCTGTGTGTTCCTTAAACCTATTTTTGCTACTGTATATGCAATGGAGAATTTATGATAGCATCCAACCAGAACTCTGGAGTGGTCAGAATGGATATTTTATACTGCTGTTAAACAGGTGGATAAATGATGAGGGCACTCTTAAAATCTATCCTTAGATTAAGACTCAGGAGTGGGGAACCTGAATGCCTTTACTCTATTACACTGTCTACTTACAGCCAGTCAGACCCCAAGCAGCCTAAGGAAGCTGTTGTGAGATTTTCGAGGGGTTGGTCACCAGCACTAGCAAGAATAATTAGTCCGGGGTTAGGGGACCACTGAACTGTAACTGATGTTCCCTTGCCATTGGTCTTTTTTTGTTTCTTTGTTTGATTTTTGGCAGAACCGGGGATTGAACTCAGGCCCTTGGGCTTGCCAGGGAAGCACTTATTCCACTGAGCCATCTCCCCGGCCCTGCCATTGGTCTTAGGATGTTCAGAGGTGAGTTGGTGACCCACACCTGCAAAGAACACCGTAGGCAGTCTTTCTGGGTGCTGCTGTACCTTCAACTTCTGTTCCCTGCCCTTGTTTTAAGAACTAAATTATTGTGGAAATTTATGCAATTTACCTTACAGCCAACCCCAACAGGACAGAGGCTGTGTGAGCTTCCGCCTGATCCTCACCCTCTGGAGGTACTGGCTAGCACAGGCTGCCTATTCTCGGTATAACCATAGGCTCAGCCCCATCCTCAACTGTCTCCATTCCCAAGGTGGGTAGGCTGCATGACTGGCTCAGGTCAGGAAGCCACCAGGCTACCTTACCCCAAACTACCAATCACGATGCTCCTCTATCCCAGGAGCATCTCCTTTCCTCTTCCCTCAGTCCCTTCCATTCTGTCTCTCTATCCCTGTGTGGCCTTCACCGCCTCCACATCCTTCTGCAGCGCAGCCTATGCCTCCCAGACCCCTGTGACCCAGAAGGCACCACCCAGCACAGCCTCTTTAATCTGCCCCATCACAGCAGCGCGAACTCGACCTCTCTGCGTCATGCACATGCGCACACTCCCACACTCGTCCCCGCTCCCCGCCACAGCCCCAGGCTCCCCGCCACAGCCCCAGGCTGCTCTCTGCAGCCTTTCTCTTCCGGCCGGGGCGTGGCGTGGCGTGGTCGAGGGGCAGGGCTCTGACTTGGGGGCGGGACCCTAGAGAAAGGGGCGTGACTCGAGGGTCCGGCGCCGGCAGGGGCGTGGCCGAGCCGCGGGGCGGGCCGCGGTGGACGAGCGTCCGGCCCGCGCCGGCCATGCTCATCACGCTGTGCTACTTGTACCTGTGGGCGCGCTGGGGGCGCCGGCCGGCCGCGCTCGTGCGCTCCACGGTGTGGCGGCTGCGCGCCTCGCACTGCTCCTTCACCTTCTGCGGTGCGGCGGCGCAGCCCAGGGACGCGCGCGTGTGCCTGAGCCGCGGCGGTCGCGTCTTCTGCGTCGGCGAGAGCCAGGTGGGCGGGCGGGGGCGGGGCGGGGAAAGCACTGCGGGCCCCTGCGCCGCCGCCCGGGAAGCCCCGGAGCCGCCCGAGGCGCGCGTACGCGGTCTCGGGAGGGGCGGGGTTGCCTGCTGGGGATCCTGGGCTGGGGACTTCTAAGCATCTGGTCCTGCCAGGATGCAGACCCTGCGACCGGCAGCTGCCCGACGTTCCCACAGCAGAACCTGCCCTTACCTTTTGCGGCTGCGGTCCCCGCGTCCTTTACCAGCAGCCCGCGGCCTCTGCACCCTCAGCATCTCGGCTGGGACGCTGTCACTGGGCTCCGTGCTTAGGATGGTGGCTGCTGTCGAGTGGCCCTGTCACTGTACAGGGCAGTCTTGCTATGAGCCAAAGAGCCTTCTTTCCATTCAGCTGTTCCCAGGAGTGGACTGAACCACACAGCGCGCTTCTAGGCACGTGTCCTGTGGCCCTCACACCATCTTGCACATGAACACAGGAAAGTGCTGACTTTGAATGACTTTCTTTTCCACTTTCCTTTTCCTTCTGCAAAGTTGGCTCACTTTGAGCATTTTATTACATGTGTCAAAGCATAACGCCCATTTTAGGGTTGAACATGCCGAGGGTGCACCTAGGTGTGGGATGGAATGGTGCCCTGGCAAATAAAAAGATACCTCAAATCAAAACTGTATATATTAGCACACGCTGAACTTGGGTTTCCTCAGTTCTCCAAAGAAAGTACGTGAGCACCACCCACGTAACTACCACCATCTAGACCCAAGGAGAGTTGTGCACTCAGCTCTTTAGATGCCTGGCTTCAGGCTCAGTTCTCTTAAGAGCCTGTTTGAGAAAGATAAAAGGAGAAAGAATTGAGAGGTGGGTTTTTCTTTTGTAGTGGTTTCCATGCTGGTTAATTTACTAAAAAGAAAGAGAAAAGAACAACAAAAAACCCGCTCTGGGCCTGGGAGATAGTTCAGAGGCATAAGCGCCTGCCTGGCAAGCACAAGGTCCAGAGTTTGATCCCTGGTACCAAACCAAACAAAAAAACCCCAAAACAAATTTCCTGCTAGGCCGTTAGATTATTGGAGTAGATGATTTGCGCATATAAATAAACTTAAAGATGGATCCTAATTTTCTCAGTTTTACTTTTGAGCCACTCTCCCCAAGCCTGAGTTGGGACAGCCTTCATCATCCGGGCCTCTGCTGCTGCCGGGATGCGCTGTGGTTTTGTGTGGTTAACTTTGCTTCCCCTAGGCTAGATAGGACCATCCTGTTCTATGTCCTCACAGATTTCAAACCACAGTTCTTTATTTCTACTTTTTGATTTTGTCTTTGCTAGAGACTGGGCCTGCTTAGCTTATCACCTGTCCAAAATAGTTGCTCAATCTTTGAGTAAATAAAAGAATGCTTAATAGTTGTTTGATCTATGCTCAGATATTCAGGGTCTACAAATGGAAACCTTGGCAATTTGTGATTAGCTACTGCTAGTCTCAGACTGGAAATATTGTTGGGTAATGATTGGATGCTTTGGGTGACTTGTTGTCAGTCTGCCTAGGTTGAAGGACTATAGGACCAAATCACATGGACAGTGTTTTATCCAAATCAGACACATAAACGTACTGAATGTGTACATTGTATGATTGAAGGTGCCACTGTAAGTTAATAAATCTAACCAAAATAGTTGGTACAGAGTAGAAATTTTAAGTATTTTTGTCCATTTGATCTACATAATCTATGTGGGAGCAAAGTGGACAGTTTTCTCTAAGTACTTTATTGATGATTATATTCAACCATAGAGGAGAGCTTTCCTCTTGCAAATTTTTTTTTTGTTGTTGTTGTTTTTTGAGATAGGGTCTTGCTATGTAGTTGAGGGTGGCCTTGAACTCAGTATATGTAGCCCAGGCAAGTCTCCAGCTAGATGTTATCCTTTTGCCTCAGCCTCCCTATCATGTCTGTCCCCTGCCCCTGATACTCATTCATTAATTATTTTAGCAGGTATTTATGAAGTATCAGTATGTGCTAGGCTACTAGGCAAGGGCATATTTGAATTTTTTTTTTAAATTTTTATTTATTTATTTATTTATTTGTGTGTGTGTGTGTGTGTGTGGCCAGCTCAGCCCACTAGGGGGCGGTGCTGGCTGGCATGTGGTGCTGGGGGATTGAACCGCGGTCCCTGTGTTTTGCTAAGCTTGTTCTAAGTAGGTGCTTTAGACCACTGAGCCATCTCACCAGCCCCTTGAATTGTTAACAGTGGACATGACTCAAATAACCAGATGTCTTTTTAAAAAATGGAGGTAGCCTCCCTCCCCCTTAGGTTTCAGCTTTTTCTGCTCTGGGTATTCCTTATTTTGCTAAGCTAAAGCTTTTTAAAATCAAATTATTTGTCTTTTTTAGAGACTAGCATTGTTTCTGTGTGTGTGTGTGTGTGTGTGTGTGTGTGTGTGTGTGTGTGTGTAGGGGTTGTTACAGGACGCATTCCTTCTAGGTACCAAGTCCTTATATAAAAAGTGTAGTATAGACCTCCACATATGCTTTCTGTACTTTTTTTTTTTTTTTTTCAGGGAAGGGTGTACAGGGTGTTCAGGGTCTCAGTACTAGATTGGACTCATAGTGATCTGCCTGTTTACAGCCTCCCAAGAACTGGAATGCAGGCACGCGCCGCCACACTCAGTCTCAGTCACCCTCTCCGCGAGCAGACCTGGGGGATCAAACCCCAGACCCCTGCTCCTGCTTGCAGGTGCTTTAACCTGCTGAGCTATTTGGTGTACTTTTTATTCATGACTTTATTATGAAACCTGATACAGTGCAGATGCCATGTAAATAGTTGTTGTGTTACATTGTTTAGGGAATGAGAAAGAAACATTATATAAAGTCTATACCTGTCAGTGTCAGTAGAGATTTTTTTAAATTATATTTTTGTTTGAATGTACAGATGCAGAAGCCACAGACGAAGACTGACCGTCTCTGATCTGTCAGCCCATACTGTCTGTAATCTGCTTTAAAAAGCTACTAAACTAAATCGCTTTTGACTGGCATTTTCAATTCCCATGTGTCTGCTGACTGACCTCCCTGCCTGTGATAGAGGCCCCTGCTGCAGCAGCTGTGGGGATGAAGGGACTCTAAGCTTTTGTGGCCTGGTGTGCATTCCCAGGCCTCCACCCTTCACTGCATCCAAGAGCGACTTGCAGAGCACCTGCCTGCTAAGTTGGGAGGAGCAGTGCTCAGAATTTATTGTGTAAAAACAGTATCTAGAGACGTTAAAGTTGCCTTGAGTCCTAGAGGGGCTTTGCAGCTGTCGAAGCAGTCAGAGCAGCACAGGTGGCTGCTTGTGGAAGAGCCTCAGTCTGCTCCAGGTGGCCTGTACCTGGGTGGCAGGGAGGGCACCCGGCAGGTCGAGATAGATGGCAGCTGTGGTTTAGAGTGACACTGAGTCCTCTTCATGTTTCTTTCCTTCTGTGCAGTCCATCGATAACCTGAACAAATGGGTCCTGTTTCTGGTCTCTCCCTTTGTACTTGAAGCAGAACACATAGCATTTGTGACAGAAAGCATTTGGGTACAAGGTGACAATTTACAGCGACCATCATCTGCAGAAACAGTAAGTACCGTGTTGTTTTTCTTTCGTGCACTATGAGGGAAGTCTGCATCCTAATCCAGGTTTGTCTTTGATTTTCAACTTAAAATTGAATTATTATAAAATTGAATTATCAATTAGGTTGAATCATATAAAATTCATAAGCTTACCATTCTTATAAGCAAAAATTTGCAGTCACTTTTATGGAGTGTTCTTTGTTTTTTGAGTTTTTTTTTTTTTTTTAGTATCAGGGATTGAACTCAGGACCTTGTGCTTGTGAGGCAGGATTTATGTTGCTGAGCTATCTCTCCAGCCCTATAATCCCTTTTAAAGGAGCTTTTGGAATAGTATTTATTCTGTTCACAAACTGAAATACTTATAATACTCAATTTTAAACTCTTGTGTACAGATTCAGCTTAATTATAATTCTTGTTCAAAATGCACCCTCCTGATTGGTCTACACATGGCTCCCATCCACTCATCAATTGAGGTAACATAATAAATACCCATAAACCACCACGCAGGAGAGAAACTGGGACCTGTGATTGACGGGCCCCAGGATGTCTCTCCTGGCTCTACTCTGCCCCCAGTTTCTTTTTGGGTGTATACAGATATCACCTTTCTGAACACTTACACAATCCCTACATGCTATTCAACTTATAAATATGGCGAGCTAGAAGTTTTCTTATTTTTTCTAATTTACTTTTTGGCACCAGGAATTGAACTCATGACCTCCTGCTTGCCAGGAAGATACTGTGCTGCTGAGCTATATCCCAGGCTATATCCTAATGTTATATATAAATTTAGTAAGAGTTTAATTCACAACCAAAGCCAGGATTTCTAAGACATTACAATAAAATAAAATAAAATAATGCAAAATATGATGTACAGATTGCCTCTTAATACAAAAATATAACTTTTTTATTTTTGGTCCTCAGGGTTGAATTGAGCCCCTCATGCTTGCCAAGCACACACCATCCCACTGACCCACACCCCTACTTCCTAACTTCCTTTTAGTTTCCTAAATTGTGACTTCATTGTACATCCTACTACATACAGCATCTTTCTATTTAGAAATAGAGTTGGCAATGTGCAGTAGTTCAGGCTGGCCTCAAGTTTGTGGCTGCCTTCCTGCCTCAGCCTGCCAACTATAGAGATTACAGGTCTGCACCACTATACCTGGTGACATGTAGTATGTTAAGAAATAAAGTTGTATGATGTAGGGTACAGGCTATGTTCTTAGCAAGGATACCCAGAGCGGGAGTGATTCAAGCAAGCTTGTTATTTCTCTCTGTGAGGCTGTCCAGGGGCCTGTCCCCTTGTCTTATTCCTCTGCTATTCTGGGTGGTTGACAATTTTGGCCTCTTGGAGGACTCTGGCTCCCACTCCCTGTGGCTACTCCACACTGTCAGCCTTGTTCACCTTGCCATGCTCAGAGCAGTGAAATAAAGCAGAAGACAGCAAGCTTACTCTTTAAAATTGTGACCCTGAGATTTCTGGTGCCAGTTCTGTGCCTACCTGATTGGGCAGAACTTAGTTACAGGGCTGTTGGTCACCTAGCTGCAGGCGGAGGGAGGTAAGAAATGCTTTTCTCCCTGGACAGTTGCAGAGTCAGGAGAGACTAGGAGTCCTGTCACGACAGGAGAGAAAGGGAAGGACAGATGTGGGATATGACAAGTGCCTTGCTAGGTACTGTATTTAATCTACTTTCTTTTTGTTTTTTTGGTGGCACTGGGGATTGAACTCAGACCCTTGCACTTGCCAGAGAAGCACTTATCCTACTGAGCCATCTCCCCGGCTTAATCTACTTTCTATGGTGATCACTTAGCTGTTTACTTTCTGTGTTAGAAACACACCAACCAGGAAAACTGCCACTTTCTAGTGAACTCATTTTACTTACGATTGGAGAGTTCGTTGGGTTTTGTGGGAGCTAGAGATACCTAGAGTGATTCTCTAAAGTACTTGGATTGTTTGTGGAGCTTCACTTTGAAAGTTGGGCCCTATAACTCAAAAAAGAGTTGATCTGGTAGTCTTCAGCTTAATTTGTGTGCTCAGGGGTTTTTTGCATTTTAGGAGCTCTTAGGAACCACAGCACATATATTTCTTCTTTTTAAAATCATTTATTTTTCTGGTACAGGGTCTCACTACCTGGCCTGGACTCATAGTGATCCTCTTATCTCAGCCTCCCCGGTGCTAGGATTACAGGCATACACCACCATGCCTGGTTTCAGTGGCCCGCTAAGCTTGGGGTCCACATGGCGTGTGGTACTGGGGGTTGAACCCCGGTCCTTGCGCTTGCCAGGCAGGCACTTACAGTGCTGAGCTATCTCCCCAGCCCCTGCATGTGTATTTCACCCAACCCTGAAGTCATTTCAATTTGAAAAGGTCCCAAGATGTTAAATAGAAACTATTATTAGGTAAGAAAGCCTTTTCAGTCCCACAGGCTCATATGTTCTCATATGATACAGTTGTTTAAATAATAGCTTTTAAAATTTTGGACATCTCACATGGTTTTTGTATTACAGTCATTCTAAAGACCCCTAACAGCAAATAAATGACTCAGGAATTTAGTTTGTTATTTTAATTTTTATTAGTACATGCTTATAGTAAATAATGATTACATACATCACAGGGAAGGAATTCCGTTGTTTTTTTTTCTTTTGTGTATATGTTTAGGACAGGGTGTACAGGTGTACAGTGCCTCACTGCGTAGATCAGACTCATAGTGGTCCTCCTGTTTATAGCCACCCAAGTGCTGGGATTACAGGTGCGCACCATCACACACAGTCTCAATTACTATCTCAGTGCACCTTGGGGGTGGGGCTGGCACGGCAGGCCTGAGGATCGAACTCCCAGCCCCTGCATCTGCCTAAGCAGGTGCTTGAATCTACTGAGCTATTTGGCCAGCACTTAGGAATTCAGTTTTTCATTTAAAGAAATCTTTTATTAGGTACAGGGTATCCTACTCAGTTCAGACTTGTAGTGATCCCCTTGCTTCAGCCTCCCCAGCTCTGGGATTACAGGTGTGTTCCACTGTGCTCAGTTTCAGTGGTGAAACTGTTGAGTGTAGTGTGCCTGCCAGCATGACATGTGGTGCCGGGGATTGAGCCCGGGTCCTTATGCTTGTGAGGCAGTCACTTAGACTGGCGAGCTATCTCTTCAGTCCTAAAATTCAGTTTTTTAAAAAAGTTTCATTTATGTATTTATATTTCCACTTATTTGCTAATAGTTTTTTTTTTTATTTAAAAAAAAAATTTTTTTTTTAATTTTTTAATAGTAAGGATTTTTCCACACTATATTTCTTGCCAGCATGACATGTGGTGCCGGGGATTGAGCCCGGGTCCTTATGCTTGTGAGGCAGTCACTTAGACTGGCGAGCTATCTCTTCAGTCCTAAAA